CACAACAAATAGGAAAATCCGTAAGCCAAGGAAGAGAAAGAAGGATATAGTTTAGTTGTAAAGATACTTTGACATAAATATTTGTAAGGAAGGAAAGAATACAAAGACAATGAAAGAACAAGGCTGTATGGTAAGAGTAGGCAGATTTGTACAGGAGCTAAATAGAATCCTCCTGCAAATAAAATATATACTCATGAGAAAAAAAAAAATACTTAAATGGATAGAGTTCAAATCTCTTTTCTTTCATTAGTTTATCTGCAGCTCTGGTGGTCTTTTGTTACTTAACTCTGGAGATTAACTCTTACATACATGTTTTTTAAAACAGGAAAGACTAATTTCCCCTGCCACCCTGGAATTGCTCATAGAAGACTAGATATGCTTTACACCCTTTTTTGGAAATTGATTGCTAACTCTAGTTTTGAACGCTGGATGCCACACGAAATTTCCAGCATACTTAGCAAGAGTTTTCATTGAATTCTATTAAATTAACATAAAAATACACACAAGCACATTTCTTAGCAGTCTCCCAAAAAGACACACTTTTCAAACATTCTAGTTATAGTAAAGTAACAGGTAATTAGTTAATCAAATCATTATTTTAACTGTGTTATGACTGGTACATATTCTAAAACAAAATTTTAAAAATAATTTACATTTATAATTAAAGCTATGATTTCTGGTACTTATAAAATCTGTTTTTAGTCTCAGAACAAGGAAAAATATGGATATTCTAGTAATACTATGTAATTGATAATATCACTATTACATAAATGAAAATTATCTTATTTTTAAAAGAGTTTCACAATTTAAATACCTTAAAATGCCAAGTTAATAATTACTCTCCTACCATAGAAACGTATCAAGAACAAATTATATAATGGTGGAAATTCATGTTTTCTTTGCAAATAACCTTGTATTTGGTATATTTGGCATTACAGTTCCTTCAATTCTATAGAGAATAAATGCAAAATTGTAGTGGATGTTCAACAGGAATGAGAGTCTTCCAATAAGTCACTGTTACTTGTTAAATACCTCTTGTGACTAATATCCAAATCAAGAAGCCATGTAACAATGAATATACATACTATACATATGCAAGAACTGCTAGGTCATACAAACTTTGACTGGGGAGACTAGTCTTTTAAAATTAAAAGAGAATAAAGGGCAAAATAGCAAAAATATACTTAAATGGAAAAAAATAATATCGGTGTCTTTATAAAAAGCATCCTATTCAATGGCATAAATTTAAATTCTGAAGGCTCTGGGGTGAAATGTGGAAAGTGAGTCCCTTTCCAAATAGAAGTTTGCATCTTAAAATTTTCCCTGATTTAAAGGACAAATTAGCACTGGAGAAGATGATTAGGTAAAAAGAACATCAAAAATACAAAGAACAGCTTTATTCTTTTTCTTTTTTTTTTTTGAGACGGAGTCTCGCTCTGTCTCCCAGGCTGGAGTGCAGTGGCGCAATCTCAGCTCACTGCAACCTCCACTTCCCAGGTTTAAGTGATTCTCCTGCCTCAGCCTCCTGAGTAGCTGGGATTATAGGCATGTGCCAACATGCCCAGCTAATTTTTGTATTTTTAGTAGAGACGGAGTTTCACCATGTTGGCCAGGCTAGTCTCAAACTCCTGGCCTCAAGTCATCCACCCAACTTGGCCTCCCAAAGTGCTCAAAGTGTTGAGATTACAGGCGTGAGCCACCGTGCCCGGCCAAGTTGTATTTATTCTAACGTTTTTTTAAAAAAGATAAAACAGATTAAGGGAAGGTAATGTACTTTGCAAAATACTGATTAGATAGGTTTATACAGCACCAACCATACAGCAATATTTCAATCAAACTCTGATTAAAATAAAATGAAAATAATCAATTTTCCAATGGTGAATATTCTTAAAACTTTGCTAATAAAGGCTGAGAGACTGAATATGCAAATGGACAATGGCCAGAACATACATAAAAATCAAACTTTGACCAACAACCTTTAAAAAACCTGTCCAGGGAAGCAAGCCCCTTATCTACAATAAACAGTCCAGAAAGTCAGTCTGATACAAGTCAGAATTGCAGGAAGCCAGGTTGCTCTCTCTAGTGAAAATCCAGGAAGCTAAACAAAACCATCAGTCCCAAATCGTTAGGACTTGATTAATAACTGACAGCTTCCCTAATTGTTGTCCACACTTCCAATGTAGAATCAACTAGAGAAAGCCAAATATGCACCCTAATCAATCACATAGATGCTTTGCTTCTGGTGTTTGCCTGTATCCAGCACCCTCATGCCAACAGTCTCTGATCAGGGCATCCCAGAAGCTTGTCTACTCTTTTGCCTGCTTCTGAGTGTCTGCCAAAATGCCAGTGAAAATGGCTGACTCCCTTGCTATAGCAAGCTCAGAATAGCCTTTACTTTTCTCATTTAATTGGTCATCATTTATTTCCACAAACGTATGTAAACAGAAGGTATTACTAAAGTTAGTATTTCATAAAAAGTTAACAATCATTTAGCCTTATCATGAATCACGCAATGTATTAAATGTTTTTGTACGAGTTATCTAATTTAATTTCATAATAAATATAAAAATTGTTACTGAAATTGATATATTACTATATTCATTTTACAGATGAGGGTATTGAGGCAGAGAATTGAATAACTTGTTAATTACTGAGATAAGGGTCAGCGCAGTGGCTCACATCTGTTGTAATCCTAGGCCTTTGGGAGGCTGAGGCAGGAGGACTGCTTGAGTCTAGGAATTTGACACCAGCCTGGGCAACACAGCAAGACCCTGTCGCTATAGAAAAATGAATCAAATAAATAAACAAAATTATAGAAAAAATACTGAGGTTATAAGTAGTAAATCAAGGGTTAAAATCAAGACAATTTGATTCCAAAGGGGATAGCTCTTAACTACTGTAGCAAATTGTACTTGAAATATGGAGATAGGTGCATGTTTTAATTGCTCTCAGAAGAAAATAAAAGCCACAAAATTAACATTTTGTTGCATTTCAAGCTCATATGTGGTCACAAAGTACTATATAATAGTAGAGGAAAAAAATTGGAATTCATTTATATCAACCTCTTTCTTTTATAAATAACCTAAGTGACACTGAGAGGAGTGAAGTACTTTGATCAGTATTATATATCTATTTAAACAGACAACATGAGATTAAAGCCCAGATCTTCTGACAGCCCAGATATCCAGCAGGCTTCACAGGGGTACAGAACATTTGCCTGGTGAGATATATAATTCTTCAAAAAACTTTATGCAAGTGTGTAATGCTAGCACATTCCAAACATATTACATAACATGGGTAAACACTTATCTTTCATGGAAATAATGAATTAATGTTATTTGAGAGGTCACTGAAATTCAGCAAGTATTTATTGAGTGCCCAATAATGTTCGGTATTGTTCTAGATACTTAAGTTTCATCAGTGAACGAAATGAAAAATACCCGATCATATTTGTTTACATTCTAGTGGGTGGAAACAAACATTGCACAATAGGTACAAGAAGTGGGCAAATTCTATGTTAGACCCTGATAAGTGCTATGATAAAAAGAAAGTAGAGCAGAGTGAGCTTGGGAGTACCAATTTGGGGCCTGGAGGGCAGGTCAGTCTCACTGAGAAGGTGAGGCAGTTAGCTACGCATATAGGAAGGGAAAGTGTCCCAGGCAGAAGGAACAGCCAATGCAAAATTCTAAGGAGCAAGTTCTCTTCCTTAGAATATCACGTTGAAAATCGTTGACAAAGTGGTTCAATGCTCTAATTGGTTTTGCCCAATTCAATGGTGCAGAAACTGCAGGTGACTTTTTTATTAATGATTTGAATCATGGCACTGAGGTCCCTTCACTAGATTTTCAATTTATTTGGTAGTGGTGGGAGTTGGAAGGAAGAGCGTCGAAAGGGGAAGAGGTGGTGCCTGGGCATTGATGTTTTTAAAAGCTCCTTGGGTGATTCTAATATGCAGTCATGGTTGAGAACCACTATTCTGGTATAGGTGAGAAAGAGAAGGGTGTTGTTTTTGTTTGTTTGTTTGTTTTTCATTCCTGTTCTTAGTAGTCTGCTCAATATGCTCATCAGGTTTGCTGCTCCAGTTGTCACCATCTGGAACTTCAAAACCACAAATTCCCTTCACAGAAATCCTGGGACCTCCCGTCAACCCCACTGGAGGTGAAACATAGGAGAGGTCATATTTCTCCTTTATGGCTCCACTTGTGAGTTCCCCATAACACCAACAAACAAGACTGTGTATGGGTGTGAGACGACTGAAAAAGTTGTTAGAGAATGAGAATATAAGAGTAACAGAGAGAAGACGGTAGCAATATGGTTGGCATAAAGTGCCTAGCAAAAAGTTTTAAGAACAAGTCTCTCTAATATTCAATTTTAAATCTGGCGCTGTGGTGACAGAAAATATCTCATCTCCCCAAATCTTCAGTAGAGTCATTTCATTTACATGTATTTGGCACATTTTTGGCATACAGTAAGTGTCTGTTAGATGAAAGAACAAATGAACTCAAGGGGGCTGAATGCAAAAAGCAACAGGCCCCCAAGCCATCCCTTTCCATTGCCTCCAATGTTGTTTCCAAGAGGCAACCACATTAATCTCATGGTTTTTAGTTACCCTATCTGTAAACAATCTGCTCATGCTGTGAATTTTCGATGTCTCAATCTTAGATGTTGCATACTTACTTCCTGCCAAGATAGATAAAGATTTAACTACATTATGCCACCACAAATTTTCCCTACTCATAACAGCTAATAAATTATATCACTAGTTAGCATTCCACTTATTACATTTGCAATTTTAAATAATATAACTAAACTCACAGTTCTTGCTTCAACATAAACAATATCTCTTCCCTTTCCCAGATAAGAGTTTTGTATCCCTTACCCTTGTCTTCATCTTTGGTTCCTTTATCACACTATCATGCTTCACATTTACAACCTGTTCTGTAACTATAGTTAAACAATTCTTGCTTTGCCTATAGGTGGACTGTATTTTTGAAAATCAGTAAAGGATATTTATGCCACATCTGTGTAAACAGTATTCACTGTCCGGGAAAGTTACCTTCTATATCTCTACTTGTTTTTTTGGTATAGCTTCTTGTCATATACCCCACTCAACTAAATTATAAATTGCCTTTTTACTTTGTCTTGAATTGTCTTCCTTTATGGCATCATTAGACTAGGTTCTTCCAACATTTCCAGAATACTAGCAAATCCAGGAATTCCTTTTTTTTCTACAGGCAGTTCTTACAGTGCTGAAGTCTTTCAATCTGTATAGGCAGGCTTCCTGTTGCATAACTCTCCTGGAAGTTGCATTCATTGCATTTCTGAATTTGTTCCACTGTTTCACAGACCCAATCCACTCCATTTCCTTCAACAAGTCCCTTGTTTGCTTGGCCTGTATTCCCAAGAAACATCCTAAAAAAGAATATTAGTGAGGTAAAGCTTTCTCAAAAGTTTGTGTTTCATTTTCTTTTTCATTCTGTCCACATATTTTATCAATAGTTTGGCATGGTATAGAATTCCAAGTTCAGGAGGCGTGGTGGCTCACACCTGTACTCTCAATATTTTGGGAGGCCAAGGAGGGAGGATGGCTTGAACCCAGGAGATCATGACCAGCCTGCGCAACACAGTGAGACTCTGTCTCTAATTTTTTTTTTTTTTTTTTAAGGTGGAGTTGTGCTCGTGTCTCCCAGGCTGGAATGTAATGGTGTGATCTTGGCTCACTGCAACCTCCGTCTCCTGGGTTCAAGCGATTCTCCTGCCTCAGCCTCCCAAGCAGCTGGGATTACAGGTGCCCGCCACCATGCTCTGCTAATTTTTGTATTTTTAATAGAGACGGGGTTTCACCACGTTCACCAGGCTGGTCTCGAACTCCTGACCTCAGGTAATCCACCCGCCTCGGCCTCCCAAAGTGCTGGGATTACAGGTGTGAGCCACCATGCCTGGCCCTGTCCCTACAAAAAATAAAAAAATTAGCTGGCATGGTGGCTCACAGCTATAGTCCCAGCTACTCAGAAGGCAGAGAGGGAGGATCACTTAAACCCAGGAGGTCAAGGCTTTAGTGAGCCATGACTGGGCCATTGTACACCAGCCTGGGCAACAGAGTGAGACCCTGTGTGGACAAAACAAAACAAAACCAAAAAAACAAAACAAAACAAAAAAATGGAATTCTAAGTTTAAAGTCATCTCTCCTAGGAAACTTTAGGGTTTCTTGTATCTTAATACTCACTCAAAAGTTTGTTGCCAGCCTGATTCTCATTCCTTTATGGAGTACTTGAACTTTCTCCCTGGAAGCTTTTAGAATCCTCTCTTCATCCTTGCTATCCTTAAATTTCATGATATATCTACGTATATACATATTTTTCTTTTTTCTGTTCAGTACTCAGTAGGTCTTCTACATTTGCAGAATCATGTCTCCCTTTAGTTCTGAAACTTTTTTCTTATTGAGCAAGTTTCATCCAACCACTTTCTCTTTTCTAACTTTCCGAACTTCTACTTTTCTGATGTTGAAAATGTACATTCTTAGGATTTATCTTTTCTTTCTCTGTTGTTCTCTACTTTTCCTCTTTTCTTTAATCTTTAGTAATGCAAATTGAGCCTACCAACTGACCTTACAGACTATGAGACAGAGAAATAAATCTCTCATGACTTATGTTTATTCCCTCCATTTAGTTAAAAGGTTTATCCAACATCAGCCCTGCTGGGTTTAGTGGGTGAGTGCTACCTATGATTGTGAGTATTCACTCCTACTACAAGTCAAGATTCATTCTCAGTGCTGTGTATACAGCAGTGAACAAAGAAAAAAATTCCTGACTTCTTGAACTGACTTTGTAGTAGAGGGACACAGACAATAAAAAAAATTAAAACGTTGCATGTCCAGTATAATCCTGGAGTCAGCAGCTGTAGCTGCAGCTTTCTGATTTTGTAGGCAGCTTTTTGTTCAGAGACAGGCAGCAGCTTCTTTGGTGGCTTGCTCTTATAGTATGACTCTAGGAATTTTTCTCAGAGTTCTACGTTTCTTCAGCCCTCCTATGATTCAGTAGAATATGTAATACTTGTTGAGAAATTCTTTTTATCCTTAAATTATAGAGCACATAGAGTGATTTCTATGAATTCTATTCTCTGTAACTGAACCTGAACCTGACTGCTACAGTAGTCACAAAAATAAATTGTACTTTTCAGCAAGAAGCCTCCTTGGTATTTTTCTTTCTGTCCTCTGAGACCAAACTATAGGGGCAAAGCTCATTTAAATTCCTAGCACAGGCCCTGACCTCAATTTTGTATGGACTCAGGGAAGCTTTCCTACTATTTGCCATCTAGACAGATAATTTAGCTGATGAGAATTCCAAGCTGACAGCTAAACGGAATACTGTACCAAAAAGTATCAATGAGCAATCTGGGAGGCTGGGGCAGGCGGATCACGAGGTCAGGAGATCGAGACCATCTTGGCTAACACGGAGAAACCCCATCTCTACTCAAACTACAAAAAATTAGCTGAGTGTGGTGGCACACGCCTGTAGTCCCAGCTACTTAGGAGGCTGAGGCAGGAGAATGGTGTGAACCCGGGAGGCGGAGCTTGCAGTGAACCTAGATCACGCCACTGCACTCCAGTCTGGGCGACAGAGCCAGACTCCATCTCAAAAAAAAAAAACAAAAAACAAAAAAAGTATCAATGGGCTTGAGGATTATAAACCTGAAAGGCATATGAGCTTCCCAGAGCTTCAGGTTAATAAAGGAGAAATATACAAATGTAACCAGGTTAAGACTAAAATGTGATATACCCACTTTACCATTTGATCTGAAAATACTGCAAGAACACTCAAAATGAAAATGAAGACATCAAGCAAAAATTTATATATGTTACTTATAAACATTCTGAAAGTGTCAGATATTATGTTTACTAGAACCCGCTGAGTTTTACACTGTCAAATTACGGTCTTTTATGACATGGCCCGTTGACAGATTTGCCTAGAATTTATGAAATACAACAGTTTATCCTGAATAGTTTACATTAGATTTGCTTTTGAAAAATGCATAAACATACCATCTTAGTCACCTCAGGCTGCCATAACAAAATAACCTAGACTGTGCAGCTTAAACAACAGGAATTTATTTACTCACGGTTCTGGAAGCTGGGAAATCCAAGATCAAGGATTGGTTGATTGCCAGCCAATTTGGTTCCTGGTGCGTGCTCTGTTCCCAGTTTGTCCATTTCTTGGAGAGCCAGAGAGAGTGAGCGCTGGTGTTTCTTCATTTTCCTATATGGCACCAACCCTATCAGATTAGGACCCCACCCTTAAAGCCTCGTTTAACCTAATTATCACCTTATAGGCCCCATCTGCAATACAGTCGACACTGGGGACTAGGGCGTCAACATAAGAATTTTGAGGTAGACACAGTTTAGTGCTCAGCACATACTTTCCAGAATTTTGCTTTTAGAAAATGTACAAATATTTTATAATATTGATAATTGTAAAAATTAACCTTTATTTAGTGATTAACATGAGCCAGGTACTATGATGTCTTATAAATGTTTTCTTATTTAATCTTTACAACCAATGAGATAAATTCTATTATCCTCATTTTACAGATGACGAACTGATGCGCAGAGGTGCTAAGTAACTTAACCAAGATCACATGGCTAGTACAGTAAAGATTCCAACACAGAGGATCCTCTTAGCTACTATGCTATAATTTAACGTATAAAATGCTCTTACATTATATATCAGTAAGAAGAGTTGTTCAGTAAGGATTTTACAACAGGTGACACTGGAGACTGAGAAGGTACCATGAACTGCCTCAGTTGAGTATGTGAGATAAGCCCTACTGTAAATAAACTACTGTGGGCACTGAAAGGAGGACTCAGTTCCTATCATGTAGGTATTGGGAGTTTTAGCTTATATACCAATTTGCACTCTCACCAACAGGATCTGAGCTGTTTCTCTACAATCTCACCAACTCTGGGTTTTATATTTAAATAAGACCTTACCTACAACTTCAAAATAAAAATATGAAAATACTGATATAACCCATCTGCTGTAAGAATAATCCTCTATGTAGTCATTGTGGCCTGTTTTAATCATGTCATTATGAAGTGCAAACCACGACAACAAATTCACAAGGTGAAATGCAAAGCTAAGATTAAGGCTAAAATTTGATATGCTCGCTTTATTATTTAACCTGAAAATACTGCAAGAACACTCAAAATGAAAACAAAGACATAACGGAACAATTTATACAAAGGTCTTATAAACACTCTGTGTCAGATATTATTTAAATTATCTGGATTGGGGAGAAGGCAAAGCAAGATGGCCAGATAGAAGCCTCCACCAATCTTCCTGCAGGAACACCAAATTGAACAACTACCCCTACAAAAAAGTACGGTCATGAGAAACAAAAATCATGTGAGTGATCACAGTATATGTTTTGAACTTCGTATCACTGAAAGAGGCCTTGAAGAGGGTAGGAAAAACAGTCTTCCATTGCCAACACAACCCCTTCCTCATTCCCTAGCAGTGGCCCTATGGTGCCAAGAGAGAACCCATGTACTTGGAGCAGGAAGAGTGCAGTAATTGTGGAAACTGGCATGGGAACACAGTGCTCCCCTGTAACAATGGAAAACACCACCAGGCAGAACTCAGGCAGAACCCATGAAAGGGTCATCTGGACCTGCCCTAGCCAGAGGGCTCAGCCCACCCCAGTGCTCAGAATGCATTCTGGCAGACCTCATACCACAGGCTAAAGTGCTCTGGGGTCCTAAATAAAGTTGAAAGGTGGTCTAGGACATAAGGACTGCCATTCCTGGGCAAGTCCTGGTGCTGTGCTGGGTTTGCAGTCAGTGGACATGGGGGGCACGTCACCTAGTGAGACACCAGCCAGGGCAGCCAATTAAAGTGCCTGCATCACCCCTCCTCATAACCCCAGGCAGCAGAGTTCCAAAGAGACACCTTCCTTCTGCTTGAGGAAAGGATAGGGAAAAATAAAGAGGACATTGTCTTGCATCTTGGACACAAGCTCAGCCACAATAGGACAGGCATCACACAGAGTCTTGAGGCCCCCATTCCAAGCTCTAGCTCCAGGATGACATTTCTAGATATACCGTGGGCCAGAAGGGAACCTGCTGCCTTGAGGGGAAAGACCCAGTCTTGGCAAGATTCATCACCTGCTGACTAAAGAACCCTTGGGCCCTGAAAAACCTGTAGTGGTAACCAGGTATTACTTGCTGTAGGCCTTGGGTGAGACCCAGTACTATACTAGCTTCAAGTGTGACCAAGCATATTCCCAGGTGTGGTGGCTACAAGGACAGACTATTGCTTGAGAAAAGCAGAAGGAAGAATAAAGGGGTCTCTGTCTTGCAGCTTAGGTACCAGCTCAGCCACAGTGGGGTAGAGCATCATGTGGGCTCTTGGGGGTCTCAGATTCCAGGTCTTGTCTCTTAGATGGCATTTCTGGACCTGCCTTGGGCCAGAGAAAAGTCCAGTGCCCTGATGAAATAGTCCCAGACCTGGCAGCATTTACCAAATTGACGGAAGAGCCCTTGGGCCTTGAATGAACAACAGCAGTAGCCAGACAGTACTTGCTGCATGCCTGGGGTGGTGGTGGCCATGGGAGAGACTCCTATGCTTGTGGAAAGGGAAGCGGAGAATGGGAAGAACTTCGTCTTGTGGCTTGGGTGCCAGTTCAGCCACAGTAGAATAGAATACCAGGTAGATTCCTAAGGGTTCCAACTCCAGGCTCGGGCTCCTACGTGGCATCTCTGAATGCCCTCAGGACCAGGGGGATCTTACTACCCTGAAGGGAAGGATATAGCCTAGCTGGTTTTGCCACCTGTTTATTGTAGAGGCCTAGGACCTTGAGTGAACCCAAGTGGTAGCCAGGCAGTGATTATTGTGGGCCATGGATGAGACCCAGTGCTGTGCTGGATTTAGGTCTCACCCAGTGCAGTAACAGTGGTAGTAGCCACAGGGGTGCTTGTGCAACACCTCCTGCAGCTCCAGGCAGCTCAGCAGAGAGAGAAAGACTCCATTTGTTTAGGAGAAAGTAAGGGAAAAGAACAAGAGGCTCTGCCTGTCAATCCAGAGAATTCTACCAGATCTTACCCAAGACCAGCAAGGCAGTACCTCTTTGAGTCTGCAAGAGCCATAGTGTTACTGGGCTTGGAATGCCCTGTAATCCAGATACAGCTGTGGTGGGAAAAAAAATTAGATCACAATTCTCAAGTCCTTTTGAATAACTGAAAAGTCTTCCCAAGAAGGGTGAGTACAAACAAGCCCAGACTGCAAAGACTACAATAAATACCTAACTCTTCAATGTCCAGACACTGACGAACATCCACAAGCATCAAGACCATCCAGGAAAACATGACCTCATCAAATGAACTAAATGAGGCACCAGTGAAAAATCCCTGTCCCACAAAGACAGAGATATTGCGACCTTTCAAAAAGAATTCAAAACAGGTGTTTTGAGAAATCTCAAAGAAATTCAAGATAATACAGAGAAGACATAGAGAAGGAATTCAAAATCCTATCAGATAAATATAACAAAGAGACTGAAATAAGTAAAAGAAACGAAGCAGAAATTCTGGAGCTGAAAAATGCAACTGACATGCTGAAGACAGCAGAGCCACTTAACATCAGAACTGATCAAGCAGAATTAGTGAGCCTGAAGACAGGCTATTTGAAAATACAGTCAGAGGAGACAAAAGAAAAAAGAATAAAAAACAATGAAGCACACATACAAGATCTAGAAAACAGCCTCAAAAGAGCAAATCTAAGAGTTATTACCCTTAGAGAATAGGTAGAGAGAGAAATAGGCATAGAAAGTTTATTCAAAGGTTGTGCAGGATCTGCATTTTATGCAAAAGAAAAAAAAAAGTTTATTCAAAGGGATAACAACATAGAACTTCCCAAACCCAAACTTAGAGAAAGATGTCAATATCCAAGTACAAGAAGGCTACAGAACACTCACAGAATTAACCCAAAGAAGACTACCTCAAAGCATTTAATAATCAAACTCCCGAAGGTCAAGAATAAGGAAAGGATCCTAAAAGCAGCAAGAGAAAACAAACGAATAACATACAATGGAGTTCCCATATGTCTGGTAGCAAACTTTTCAGTGGAAACCTTCCAGGCCAGGAGACAGCGGCACGACACATTTAAAGTGCTGAAGGAAAAAAAAATTCTACCTTAGCATAGTACATCTAGCATAAATATCCTTCAAACATGAAGAAGAAATAAAGACCTTCACAGGCAAACAAAAGCTGAGGGATTTTATCAACACCAGACCTGTTTTATAGGAAATGCTAAATGGAGTTCTTCAGTCTGAAAGAAAAGTATGCTAATGAGCAATAGGAAATCATTTGAAGGTACAAAACTAACAGGTAATAGTAAGCACAGAGAAAACACAGAATATTATAGCACTGTAATTATGGTGTGTAAACTACTAATATGTAGAAAGAGTAAAAGATGATCCAATCAAAATAATAACTACAATTTTTCAAGACATAGATATTACAACAAGATATAAATAGAAATGAAAAAGTTAAAAAGCAGGGAGACTGAATTAAAGGGTAGAGTTTTTATTAGTTTTCTTTTTGCTTGCTTGTTTATGTAATCAGTGTTAAGTTGTCATAAGTTCAAAATAATGGGTAATAAGATATTATTTCCAAGCCTTATGGTAATCTCAAATCAAAACATACAATGGACACACACACAAAAAAAACAAAAAGCAAGAAATTAAAACATACCACTAGAGAAAACCACCTTCGCTAAAAGGAAGACAAGAAGGAAGGAAAGAAGGAAGAGAAGACCACAAAGGAACCAGAAAACAAAATGTCAGGAGTGAGACCTTACTTGACAATAGTAACATTGAATGTAAAAGGACTAATATCTCCAATCCAAAGACATACAGGGCTGAATGGATAAAAACAACACCCAACAATCTGTTGTCTACTAGAAACATACTTCACTTATAAAGAAATACATAGGCTGAAAATAGGAGGATTCAAAAAGATATCCCATGAAAATGGAAACCAGAAAAGAGCAGGAATAGATATACTTCTATCAGCCAAAATAGATTTGAAGACAAAAACTACAAAAAGAGACAAAAAAGCTCATTATATAATGATAAAAAGGTCAATTTAACAAGAGGATATAATTTTAAATACATAGCACTCAACACTGGAGCAATCAGGTATCTAAAGCAAATATTATTAGTGCTAAAGAGAGATGGACTCCAATAGGATAATAGCTGGGGACATCTCAACACTCTACCTTCAGCACTGAACGAATCATTCAAACAGAAATTCCACAAAGAAATACTGGACTTAATCTGCATGATATAACAAATGGACCTAACAAATATTTACATAACATTTCCTTAAAACATTCAAAAATTTAAAGTATAATAATGTAAAATATCTTCTCAGACCACAGTGGAATACAATTAGAAATCAATAATAGGAGGAATTTTTGAAACTATACAAACACATGGAAATTAACAATATGCTCCTGAATGGCCACTGAGTCAATGAAGAAATTAAGATGAAAACTGGAACTTTTTTTGAAGCACATAATGGAAGTTCAAAATACCAAAACCTATGGAATACAGCAAAAGCAGTACTAAGAGGAAAGTTTATAGCTATATACTATTATCAAAAAAAGTAGAAAAACTTCAAATAAATTAATGATTCACTTTAAAGAACTAGAAAAGCAAAGGCAAACCAACTGCAAATTAGTAGAAGAAATAATAAAGATCAGAGCAGAGATCAACGGAATTGAAACGAAGAAAACAATAAACAAGATCAATGAAACAGAACGTTGGTTTTTGAAAAGATAAAATTGACAAATCTTTAGCCAGACTGAGAAAAAAGAGAATACCCACATAAATAAAATCAAAGACAAAAAAGGAGACATTATAACTAATACTGCAGAAATTCAAAGCATTATTAGTGGTTACTATGAGCAACTATATCCCAATAAATTGGAAAACCTAGAAGAAATGAAAAAATTCCTAGACACATACAACCTACCAGAATTTAACCATGTAGAAATCCAAAAACTGAGCAGACCAATAACAAGTAATGAGATCAAAGCCATAATAAAAATATCTCCCAGCAAAGAAAAGCCTGGTACCCAATGGCTTCACTGCTGAATTCTGCCAAACATATAAAGAAGAACTAATACCAATCCTACTCAAAGAATTCCGAAAAATAGAAGAGGAGGGAATATTTGCAAACTCACTCTATGAGGCCAGTATTACCCTGTTACCAAAACCAGGCAGACACATCAAAATAAATAAACAAATAAAAATAAAAAATAAACCGCAGTGAATACTGATGCAAAAATCCTCAACACGAAATACTAGCAAAGTGCATTCAACAGCACATTAAAAAGATCATTCATCATGACTAAGTGGGATTTATCCCAGATGCAAGAATGATTCATCATATGCAAAACAATGTGATACATCACATCAACAGAATGAAGGACAAACACCATACGATCATTTTAATTGATGCTGAAAAAGCATTTGGTAAAATTCAACATCCCTTCAAAATAAAAACCTTAAAAAAACTGGGTATAAAACTCAACATAATAGAATCTATATGCAGCAGATCCACATCTAGTATCATACTGAATGAGGAAAAATTTAAAGCATTTCCTCTCATACCTGGGACATGACAAAGATGCCCACTTTCACCACTGTTATTCACCATAGTAATCAGACGAGAGAAATAAATAAAAGGCATCCAAATCGGAAAGGAAGAAGTCAAATTATCCTTTTCAGATGAGGTGATCTTATCTTTGGAAAAACCTGAAGACTCCACCAAAAAACTATTAGATCTTACAAACAAATTCAGTAAAGTTGCAGATAAAAAATCAACACATAAAAATCAGTAGCATTTGTACTGCCAACAGTGAACAATCTGAAAAAGAAACTGAAGAAGTAATTCCATATACAATACCTAGAAATAAAATTAATTACCCAGAAATTAACCAAAGTGAAAGATCTCTACAGTGAAAATTATAAGAAATTGATGAGCACACAAAAAAATGGAAAGATATTCCATGTTCACAAATTGGAAATATCCATATTGTTAAACCGTCCATATTATCCAAAGCAATCTACAGATTAAATGCAATCTCTATCAAAATACCTATGACATTCTTCACATAAATAGGAAAAAATAATCCCAAAACTTATATAGAACCATAAAAGACTCAGAATAGCCAAAGCTATCCTGAGTAAAAAGAACAAAACTGGACGAATCACATTACCAGGCTTCAAATTATACTACAGAGCTACAGTGACCAAAATGACATGGTATTGGCATAAAAACAAGACAAAGATCAGTGGAAGAGGGCCAGGCACAGTGGCTTATGCTTGTAATCCAAGCACTTTGGGAGGCTGAAGCAGGTGGAACCCTTTGTGTCCGGAATTGATGGGTTCTTGGTCTCACTGACTTCAAGAATGAAGCCGCGGACCCTCGCGGTGAGTGTTACAGTTCTTAAAGATGGTGGATCCGGAGTTTGTTCCTTCAGACATTCAGATGTGTCTGGAGCCTCTTCTTTCTGGTGGGTTCGCGGTCTCGCTATCAGGAGTGAAACTGCAGACCTTTGCAGTGAGTGTTACAGCTCTTAAAGACAGCGCCTCTAGAGTTGTTCATTCTTCCCGGTGAGTTCCTGGTCTTGCTGGCTTCAAGAGTGAAGCTGCAGACCTTCGCAGTATCACAGCTCTTAAAGGCAGCATGGACCCAAAGAGTGAGCAGCAGTAAGATTTAGTGCAAAGAGCGAAAAAACTAAACTTTCACAGCGTGGACATGGACCCCAGTGGGTTGCCGCTAGTTGACGCAGGCAGTCTGCTTTTATTCCCTTACCTGGCCCCACCCATATCCTGCTGATTGGTCCACTTTACAGAGAGCTGATTGGACCGTTTTGACAGGGTGCTGATTGGTGCATACAATCCTCTAGTTAGACATAAAAGTTCTCCAAGTCCCCACTAGGTTAGTTGGATAGAGTACCAATTGGTGTATTTGCAAACCCTGAGCTAGGCACAGAATGCTGATTGGTGTATTTGTGATCCCTTAGCTATACATAAAGGTTCTCCAAGTCCTCACAAGACTCAGCAGCCCAGCTGGTTTCACCTAGTGGATCACGCATGGGCGCTGTAGGCGGACCTGCCCACCAGTCCCTAGCGGCCCCTGCCCTCCTCAACCCTTGAGTGGTTGATGGGACTGGGCGACATGGAGCAGGGGGCGGTGCCGGTCGGGAGGCTCGGGCCGCGGGAGAGCCCCCTGCGAGTGGGGGTGAGAGGCTCTGACATGGCGGGCTGCAGGTTCCCAGCCTGCCCTGCCGGGAGGCAGCTAACACCTGGCGAGAACTCGAGCGCAGTGCTGGTGCGCTGGCACCCTCTGCAGCTGCTGGCCCGGGTGTTAAGCCCCTCACCACCCTGGGCCAGTGGTGCTGGCTGGCTGCTCCGTGTGCAGGGCCCACAGGGCCCACAGGGCCCGCCGAGCCCGTGCCCGCCAGAACTCACGCTGGCCCACGAGCACCACGCGCAGCCCCGGTTCCCTCCCGCGCCTCTCCCTCCACACCTCCACGCAAGCAGAGAGAGGCGGCTCCAGCCTGGCCAGCCCAGAGAGGGGCTCCCACAGTGCCGTAGCAGGCTGAAGGGCTCCTCAAGCACTGCCAGAATGGACCCGAGGCGGAGGAGGCGCCGAGAGCGAGGGCTGCTAACACGTTGCCACCTCTCACCTTGATGTCAGGAGTTCGAGATCAGCCTGGCCAACAGGGTGAAACCCTGTTTCTACTAAAACTACAAAAATTAGCTGGGCATGGTGGCTTACACCAGTATTCCTAGCACTTTGAGCACTTTGGGAGGCTGAGGCGGGCAGATCACTTGAGGCCAGGAGTTTGAGACCAGTCTGGCCAACATGGTGAAACCTTGTCTCTACTACAAATACTAAACTTAGTCAGGTGAGGTGGCATGCACTTGTAATCCCAGCTACTTGAGAGGCTGAGGAAGAAGAATCGCTTGAACCCAAGAGGTGGAGGTAAAAGTGGGCCAAGATCTCACCACTGCACTCCAGCCTGGGCGACAGAGGCAGACTCCATCTCAAAAACAAAAACAATGGAACAGAATAGAGAACCTAGAAACAACTCCATACATCTACAGTCATTTTTGACAAAGGTGCCAAGAACATACACTGGAGAAAGGACAGTCTCTTTAATGAACGGAGCTGGGAAAACTGGATAGCCATATGCAGAAGAATGAAACTAGACCTCTATTTCTCACCATACACAAAAATCAAATCAAAACGGATTAAAGACTTAAATCTAAGATCTGAAACTATGAAACTACTAAAAGAAAACATTGAGGAAGCTCTCTAGGATATTGTGCTGGGCAAAAGAGATGTTGAGTAATACCCTAAAAGCACAGGCATTCAAAACAGAAATGGATAAATGTGATCACATCAAGTTAAAAAGCTTCTGCACAGCAAAGGAAACAATCAACAAACAGACAATCCACAGAATGGGAAAAAAATATTTGCAAACTATCCATCTGACAAGGGATTCGTAACCAGTATATATAAGGAGCTTGAACAACTCAATAGGAAAAATTATAATAATCTGAGTTTAAAAAGCACAAAAGAAAAAAAAAAATAAATTAGGGCAGGAATACACCACTTGCCTTGTGCCCTTTTAAGAAAGGAAGAAAAAATATAGGTCTCAAATTTATAGGAATTCTTTATTACAAGTAAAAAATTCTCTGGCTAACTTATTTGTAAAAATGTTTTCTAGCTTTAACAAACTTTAATAAGAATAAAACTTTAATAAAAGTTAAAAAAAAAAAAAAAGCACAAAAGGGCCAGGCACAATGGTTCACACCTGTAATCCCAGCACTTTGGGAGGCCAAGGCAAGAGGATCACTTGAGGCCAGGAGTTCAAGACCAGCCTGGGCAACATGGTCAGGCTGTTTTTTTGTAGAAACCCCATCTCTACAAAAAAAGAAAATAAAAAAAATAAAAGAAAATTTAGCTGGGTGTGGTGGTGCACACCTCTAGTCCCAGCTATTCAGAAGGCTGAAGTGGGGGGGATTACTTGAGGAGTTCGAAGCTGCAGTGAGCTATGATCAAACCACTGCATTCCAGCCTGGGTGACAGAGCAAGACCCTGTCTTAAAAAAAATTTTTTTTAATGGGCAAAAGATGTGAATAGACATTTATCAAAAGAAGACATACAAATGACAAGTATATGAAAAGGTGCTCAACATCACTCATCACCAGAGAAATGCAAATCAAAACTACAATGGATATCATTTCATCGCAGTTAAAATGGCCTATATCCAAAAGACAAGCAATAACAAATGCTGATGAGGATGCGGAGAAAAGAGAACCCTTGTACACTGTTGGCAGGAATGTAAATTAGTACAGCCACTAT